CTCGCCGCGCCACGGGGGGGGACGCGAGGAAAGACGAGGATGGCCTCCCCTCCCTCATCCTGATTCTCCTCCCTCCATCCTCCTCGGGCTCCTCTCCCCTCCACTCCCCTCCTCCCTCCTCCCTTCCTCCCTCCTACTCGTGCTGCTCTCCTGCCTCCTCCTCCTCCTCCTCCTCCTCCTCCTCCTCCTCCTCCTCCTCCTCCTCCTCCTCCTCCTCCTCCTCCTCCTCCTCCTCCTCCTCCTCCTCTCCTCCTCCTCCTCCTCCTCCTCCTCCTCCTCCTCCTCCTCCTCCTCCTCCTCCTCCTCCTCCTCCTCCTCCTCCTCCTCCTCCTCCTCCTCCTCCTCCTCCTCCTCCTCCCTCCTCCTCCTCCTCCTCCTCCTCCTCCTCCTCCTCCTCCTCCTCCTCCTCCTCTCTCTTCTCTCTCTCTCTCTCTCTCTCTCTCTCTCCTCCTCCTCTCCTCATGCTCTAACTGCTCCTGTTGCTCCTCCTCCTCCTCCTCCTCCTCCTCCTCCTCATCCTCCTCCTCCTCCTCCTCCTCCTCCCTCCTCTCTCTCCTCCTCCTGTGCCGAAAGACCAGTCGTCTTGACGACGTGCCAAGGGCCTCGCCTGCCTCCCAGGATCCGAGTGGGACGGGGCCTCTCGACTCCTCGGCCTGCCTCTTTCGGGTGCTCGTTCGAGGGCAGGGGAGTCTGGGCCAGCGGCGGCAGCTCAGGGGCCAACCGGCCAATCAGGGCCCCTCAAGGGTAACTTCCTTGCAATTCTCCAATCCGGATCCCCCCTCACGCCTCCTGCCGCCCTGCGGCCGCCCGCCCGGATCCCCCGCCTCGGCCTGTTCAGCATGGGGGGAAACGGGTCCCGAGGGAATCGGGACCTGGACCCGAAGCCCTGCGGCCTTACCCAGGAGGGGGGGGGGAGGAGGGAGGAGGGAGGGAGGAGGGAGAGGAGGAGGAAGAGGAGGAGGAGGAAAACGAGGAGGAGGATGATGATGATGATGATGAGGATGATGATGACAATGAGGAGAAGGAATATGAAAAGGAGGTGGAGGTGGAGGTAGAGGAGGAAGGAGAGGAGATGGAGGTCGATGGGTGCAGGTTGTCGGACCCCGAAGGACGCTCCCGTTCGAGCGAGGACCCCCATCCGACAACACGCACCCATAGCCTCCTCCGACCGCCCCCTTTATGGGTATGGGATGGGCGTGTTGTTCGTTCGTCACAGATCTTCATCCTGAATCGTTTTCTGACAGTCCCGGGGCCAATGGAGGTCCCCGAGAGCCCGAAAACGGTGAAACACCACAGGTCGGCGGCGAGCGAAGACGGGAAGCGAGAAGGAGAAGGCCTTCTCAGACAACGGCGGGGCGTCTCAGAAAAAGGCCTTCCGGCCTTCTGGCACATGTTCGTGTCTTCGGGGCAGGCGTCGAACACTTCCGACCCTTCCGAGAAGGGCCGCCCCTTCTCAATTCCCCCCCGGGGCTGGCCGCCAAACAAAACCCGCTTCACTCATGACCCGTTTCCCCCACGTCGGCCTGTCCCCTCCCTCCTCCCTCCTCCGCCGCTACGTGGGCCTCCTTCTTCCTTTCTCCTCCTGCTCCTCCTCCTCCAACCTTCCTCCTCCTCCTGCTCCTTCTCCTCCTCCTCCTCCTCCCTCCTCCTCCTCCCTCCTCCCTCATCCCTCCTCCCTCCTTTTCGTTTCGATTCGTCCTTCGGCCTGAAGTCTACCTAGGACCAGACGGGCACTTCGCTGTGGGTGCTCATCATGCATGTGCCAAACGCACAGCCAGTCTACGCAGTACTGTCGTGCATTCCGCGAATGCTGCTGCCTCTGCCGAGAAAGAGTCTGTCCAGGTCTCGAGAAATGTGCCTCCCATGGCAAACTTGTGCAAATCGCCATTTCCGAAAACTACTCCTACGATCCATGCAGAAGCCGCGCAATCTCTGCCTCGCGCCCCGCCATCTGTATGAACAATCATATTACAATCGTAGAATGCTCTGCTCGGGCGTGGCCAATCGAACTCTAAAGACCATGTCTGCCGGGCGTCCATGGTGTAATTGACGAGGTGGTCCGCGATGACATTGTAGTTACGTCGTCGCCATTTCACTGGATCCCGCCACCGTTCTGGGGGCAACCATCCAGACGTCACCAAAGTCGCCAAATTGTCACACGTACGGTCGATTAGATGCCGGGCCCCTGGGTTGAGGCAAGAGGCGTGGCCACAGACAGTGCGTTGTAGTGGTTGGCAGTCCACCACAAATAGCACCTGCATCAGCGCATCCCCCCAAGAACAATCCATATCTCGTCCGTCTTCAGCATGTGATTGCGGAAGTTCGTCCAGGACGTGTCCTTGGAGTCGTCGTCGCTTGCTCGGTTGGTCTGGTATTTCCACTGGTCGGTTTTCCGACGGTGGCAGTGGCACCCCCCACTGCGTGCAGACCGTATTTGCGAAGACATCGAAGTTGGCCATCCACTCCCGCTCATGGCCGAATTGGTCCCAGAATGATCTCCAGCCCAAGCCGTTAACCAGCACGAAAACATCCTCCCAATCATTGGGCCCCCCAGGTGTCGCATGCATCAGGCCTAGGTCACGACGACTGCGCCATGGAATCTGCCGGGTCCCTGACCACCACTGTCGGCTGCGGAAGCGCCGCGTGTTCCGGAGGTGATTGACGTTCGCTGGATGCTTTTGGTGTTCTTCTCTCCATGCCTGCCGAAATACTTCGTGTAGAATTCGGTGGTGCAAAAGCTTGTAATTGAATCGTGCCGCCCATGCTTCGACGGTCCTCGGAGTACGTTGATTGTAATCCATGTTGCTCTCACCAGGTCGTCGACGGAGCCGGAGGATTCTGCGAAGAAACTTGAATTCCCAACATTTTGCCACAAGTAATGTTCTGGCCGTGAGGTGCCAAGAATTGGACCCGTACGCGACCGAGGCGGAAGGTCCAGAACACCTCCTCCCTCCTCCCTCCTCCCTCCTCCCTCCTCCCTCCTCCCTCCTCCTCCTCATCGTCCTTCCTCCCTCCTCCCTCCTCCCTCCTCCCTCCTCCCTCCTCCCTCCTCCCTCCTCCAAGTGGGAGATCGCCAAGTGTGAGAAGTGCCACCCGAATCAGCTGGCGACTAAGCCAGCCACAGACCAACGTACAGCCTCCCCGCCGTGGAGACGCTCCAGCTCGCGCCGCCCAGCGGCCCACAGCAGCAACGCGGAGGAGGAGGAGACCATGAATATCATGCCGTGCTCGCCAGAGGAGGCCCGCGCCCACAGGCGTTGGCAGGAGCCCCCAGAGAGTCCGCAGGAGATTGGCGAGTACAGGAAGGCCCTGGGCTCCACATTAGAGGGGCTAGAGCGTCAGATCAAATGCTCCAAGGAGCTCAAGATGGACGCATCGCAAGTGTAGGCTCTACGACACGAGTATGCAGTGGTATTGTACCAGCCCATGTACTCGCGCACAGCCTCCGCCCGCACTGCCAAGCAGCTCAGCTTTGTCAATCGAGCGAAGCGCAGGCTGACGCAGGCCACGCAGGTGCAAGTAGAGGCACAGATCTATCTTGACTCATGTGTTGCACAGGCGCATGCACTACATGACGAAGTGGCACACGCTGAAGACCTTCTCGAACATGTCGACGACCTAGAGGACAGTGAGAAGCAGGACAAGGAGCGCAAGCAGGCCGAGGCGCGCACCCAATATGTCGCACACTCGTAAGCCTCGCGCAGCAGACTACATGGACGAAGACGAAGAGGAAGACTCCGACAGAGCTCCCCGTGCACCAGCAGGAGGAGCATCGAGGTCGCGCACGAAGTGGCCAGCTACCGCACGCTCCCCGAGCACACCAGCGGGCACACGCTCTCCAAGTACGCCTACCACTCGGATTCCGCCTGGAGCTACACCGTGCTCGGGCTCAGCGGATTCGAAGAAGGAATTCTCCACCCCCGGCCTGCTAGCGAGCATGCAGCACTCGCAGCAGGCCCTCATGGCGCAGCTCCTGGAGTTCAAGACAGCCATGAGTACCATACAGAAGCAGCTCACTGACGTTAGCATCAACAGCAAGTCCGATCGAGAAGAACTCCAGCGACAGATATGGGCACTACAAGTGCAAGCATCCACGGCATCGCCCACCCCCACGCCAAGAAAGGACAAGGACAAGTCGGTCCCTCCCGACACACGCACAGAAGGACGTCGACGGCTGGAGGGCGCCTTCGCCCTGGGAGCCGAGGCGGGAAGACACAGATCTACATCGCTCAGGCGCCCCGCGGGTCAGGCGCCACCCAAGCAGGTCAAGATCAACGACGAGATGGCCGGGGACTCCATGCATACACGACCTGACGAACCACGTGAGATCGCAGCAGGAGAAGACGAGACGGACATGGCAGCGTTGAGCGGAGCCGGCAGCCCATCAGGCCAGCAGACAGTTTTTCGCGTAGCATCCAGGTCCGCCCACGCAGCATCAACACAAGCTGAGCGCGTTTGGCGCTTAGCAGAATATTCTGGCAGGCTCGCTCAAGTCCCCCCATCAACCTCCTCGCAGCAGCCAGCCGGTGTACAGAATCCGACTCCAGATAACACAGCGGATGGCCGCTCACCACAAGAGCAGGGTTTACCCGACACAAACACTAAGTTAACCATGCAGGCTCCCAAGAGGACCGCCAGGAGTCCAGAGGTCGCCCATCCCCGATCTCCGACCTACCCAGGTGCTCATGGAAAGAAGGTGGCCTGTTCAGCCGTCTAGGGGCCTCCTATCGTGGGCCCCCCTACTGGCGCTCTTCTTCTGCTCAGGCATTTCCAGGGCCCATCCAGTACGATCCCAACCTGAGGTTTACTCGACTGGAAAGTCTACGCGGATGCGACTGCAGGAGGATACAAACGGACAGGTGTGCGGGCCAGCTTGGGCACTGTGCATCATGGCAGTCTCTGTATTAGGTGTCACTTTGCTTGGATACCTGGCAGGTCCGCTTCCAGATTGGGAAGCAAACGATTCACTCACTCCGCTGAGGGCCGATTTGGAAGCCGCC